TGCCTTTCAAAGAGGATTTTGCAGGAGATTTGCCTAATGCAATATGTTGTTTAATTTCTTGACTGCTTCTTCCAGGAGTGTTGATAGTGGATCCAAGCAAAATGAAGTCTTTTCAACTTCAATCTTTTCTATATTTTTCATGATGCTATTTATTGGTCTAGTTGTGAGGATTGTTGATTTCTTTACATTGAGATGCAATCAATAATGAAGACTAAAGTCTTTGATCTTCATCATTAAACATTATAAGTCCTCTTCACTTTCAACAAGTAAGATTGTGTCATCTGCATATTGCAGATTGTTAATGAATCTTCATCCTGATGCCATGTTCTTCTTCATATAATCCAGCTTCTCAGATGATTTGCTCAACATACAGATTGAATAAGGATACAGGAGCTCTGGTAGTGTAGTGGTTACGAATTGGACTGCGAACCTCAAGGTCACCAGTTCGGAATACCAGCTGTTCCATGGGAGAAAGATGAGGCTTTCTACTACCGTAAAGATTTACAGACTCAGAAACCCCGTACAGGGTTGCTCTGAGTCGGAATTGATTGCATGGCACATAACCACCACCACAGTACTGGTGCACATTTTTCCTGATTTTAAACCATTCTGTACCCCATCTGTTTAAACAACTGCTTCTTTGTTTGTGTACAGGTTCCTTGTAAGCACAACTAAGTGTTTGGAATTCCCAATCTTCGCAATGTTATTCATAACTTGTTATGATACAAAAAGTCAAATGCCTTTGGATAGCCAATAAAGCACAAGTATACATTTTTCTGGTATTCTCTGCTTTCATTGGACACTGACAATGATATCCTTCATTCATTGTCCTATTCTGAATCTATCTTGAATTTATGGCAGCTCCCTGTCGATGACCTGCTGCAACTGCTTTTTAATTATCCTCAGCAAAATTTTACTTGCATGTGATATTAATGAATTGTTCAAAGATTTCAACATTCTGTTGGTCAGCTTTCTTTGGCATGAGCACAGATATATGATAGCCAGTTAGTTGTCTTCCAAATTTCTTGGCATAGATTAGTGAGTGCTTCCAGTGCTGCATGAGTCTATTGAAAGATTTCAATTTGTATTCTATCAAATTTGATTTCAATTTCTTTTTGTCAGTGCTTTCAGTGAAGCTTGAACTTCTTCCTTCAGTACCATCAGTTATTGATCATATGGTACCTCTTAAAAAGGCTGAACATTGACCATTTCTTTTTGGTATAATGACGGTGTATTGCTTTCATCTTCTTTAGTTTCTTTGTGCATCATTGAATAATTTGCTCATGGAATCCTTCAATACTACAACTCAAGGATTGATCTTTTTTCCTTCAGTTATTTCAGTTTGAGAAATGCTGAGTGTGTCCTTCTATTTTAGTTTTATGTTTGCGCAGTCATTATATTTGATTTTGTCTTCTCGAACTGACCTTTGAAACTTTCTGTTCAGCTCTTCTATCTCCTCATTTCTTACATTTGCTTTAGCATCTCTATGTTAGAGAGCAAGCTATAGAATCTCATCTAACATCCATTTTGGTCCTTTCCTTCTTGCTTATCTTCGTAATGAATTTTTGTTTTCTTGCTGTGTGATGTTCTTGATGTCATCCCACAACTCTCTGGTCTTCAGTCATTAGTGTCTAATGCATTAAATGTATTCTTGAAACGGTCCCTAAACTCAAGTGGGATATACACAAAGTCATTTTTTTTGCTCCTGTGGATTTGTTTAAATTTTCTTCAACTTCAGACTGGACTTTCATATGAACATTTGATGGTCAGTTCCATAGTCTGCCCCAACTTTGTTTTGGCTGATGATATTGAGCCTTTCCACTGTCTCTTCCCACAAATGTAGTCAATTTAATTCCTGTGCATTCCATCTGATGAGGCACAGGTGTATAGTCACCATTGATGAATAAGTCACTGGTCTTGCAAAATATTGTCACGCGATCTCCAACATTGTTTCTATCTCCAAGGCCATATATTCCAATTACTGATCTTTCCTCTTTGTTTTCACCTTTCGCATTCCAATCACCAGTAATTATCAATGCATCTTGATTGCATGTTTGATCAATTTCAGACTGAAGAAATTGTTTGTTAAGTATTGTCGAGTCAGTTCTGATTCATAATGACCCTGTGTAGAGTTTCTGAAGATCCATTGGTGGATTTGAACTGCCAACTTTTTGGTTAGTACTCCAATACTTATCCTACAGTACTGCACCAGGAGTCTAAAGAAGTTGGTGGAATTCTTCAATTTCATCATTACTGGCTTTAGTGGTTGGTGTATAAATTTAAATAATAGAGGTATTAACTGGTCTTCCTTGTAGGCATATAGATATTATTCTATCACAGACAATGTTGTACTTCAAGATAGATCTCGAAATGCTCTTTTTAATGATGACTACTATGCCATTCCTCTTAAATTTGACAAATTGGCCAATACCAGTCCATCTCTGCTAACTAATACCTAGGATATTGATTGTTATGTGTTTTATTTCATTTTTGACAATTTCTAATTTTCCTTGATTTGCACTTCATGCATTCCATGTTCAGATTATTAATGGATATTTGCAGCCATTTCTTCTCATTATGAGTTGTACCCCATCAGTAAATGCAGGTCCTGAAAGCTTGCTCTATTCATGTCATGAAGATGAACTCTACTTTGAGGAGACAGCTCTTTCCCGAGTCGCAGTTTGAGTACCTTCCAATTTGAGGGGCTCATCTTCTGGCACTCTGTCTGGCAATGTTCTTCTGTTGCTCATGTTGGCATCTTCTAGCATTATATCTGACAGTGTCCATAGGTTTTCAGTAGCTAACCATTCAGAACTAGTCAGCCTCTTCTTTCAGCTCATCTTAGAAGCTCTGCTGAAACTTGTCTACCATGCATGACCTTGTTGGCATTTAAACCACTGGCGGCATAGTTTCTATCATCACAACAATATAATAGTATCAGAAGTATTTTAAAACATTTGTGGTCACTAAAAGGAGTCCTGGTGTGGCATTGTGGGTTAGTGCACCAGACTGCAAAGCTGTTTGAACTGCAAGGTCAGAGGTTCAAGCTCACCAGAAGTTCCTTGGAAACCCTATACATGGTCGCTATGGGTCAGAACTGACTAAATGGCACATAAGAACAATAACAATTGTCTATAATACATTTTGAAAGTGATATTTCCAAGGACTTGTATATAACATCTAACAGTTTCTGTCATGATGTCACTACTCTAAGATGACTCTCGTAAATTTCTCTTTTAACTTTTCAGTTGCCAAGTGACCTCTAGAAGCACATCATACAAGCCTTCCTGAGGTTGATCTAAGTTCACTGTTTGTCCCTAAACAGTGCTGCTTTTTTTTTTTTCTTTCTTTTTTAAATAAAGTACTGAGAGAGCACTCCTATTAGTATGAGAGATTGTAATGCCTCAAATATATAGCCATCTCCTCTTTCATAGGGATAATATTGTAATACAGTCATGTCTAAATCTATATGTTATAAAATTCAGATCCATGTTTATACTTGGTAAAGAGAAGGGAGATAAATTCATGGAAACTATTTTTTTAAATATGCAAATTAAAATAATAATGAGATATCATCTCACACCAGCAATAATAGCAAAATTCAGAATAAAAGAAAACAACAAATGCTGGCAATGATGTGGAGAGACTGGGATCCTCCTACATTGCTGGTGGGACTGTAAAATGGTAGAGCCACTGTGGAAAATGGCATAACTCTTTCTCAGAAGGTTGAAAATAGAAATACATTATGGTCCAGCAATCCTTCTACTTCATATATATCCACAAGAAAAAATAGCCAGGACATGAGCAGATCTATTCACACCAGTGTTCATCAAGCACTATTTACAATAATAGAAAGATGGCCACAGCTTAAATGCCCGTCAATGGAAGAGTGCATAAACAATTTTGGTCCATACACACTATGGAATACTATGCTTTGAAGAATAATCATAAATCTGCAAAATATCTCATAACATGGATAAACCTAGAGAACATTATGTTGAATGAAATTAGTCAATCACAAAAACACAAATATTATACAAGACCACTATTGTAAAAACTCAAAAAAATGCTTTCATACTAAAAGAAACATTCTTTGATGGTTACCATGGGTAGAAGGGAAGGGAGAGTAATTCACTGTCTGGAGAGTAGACACATGTTAACTCTGGTGAATGGGAGGGCAATATGCAAGAAGAGGGAGGTCAATACAAGAAGAAGGAATTTGGCAAAAGAATGATGAAGACACAGGGAGGTATGCCAGGGCTAATGGGGATAGAGGTAGGTAGTGATACATACACAACCTTGGAACAACAATGTTCTGTGTGTACATATCATGGAGAGAGACACAGAGTACAAGAGGAAGAGTGGGATATATATATCTGATATAGATATATATATCAGATATATATATACCACAAATATGTGAGCGTTTTAAAGGGGATATTTATACATGGGTAACTACAGGGAGGAGCGGGATAAGTGTAGTTGCAGGGAGGGGATTGTAGTCATTGAGATGAAACAAAGTATATGATTTGTTGAATGTAAACCTGATGATCTTGTCTGTAAGCCTTCTCTCAATCTACAATAAAAAGTTTAAAAAATATAGTGATAGGGGAAAAGAGAAAGAACAGATGAGAAACATGAAAGTTAGACAACAAGAGAGGAAAAACTCAACAGCCCTCATCCACTTCCCCCTACTCCACACTTCATATTCAGAGTCTCATCTAAGTCAGGTCTGGCTTCCTTAAGCATGTTAGCTTCTCTGATCCTCCTAGTCCCACATTCTATGACCTTGGTTATTCAACAAACAAGCCCCTCCCACTTATATTCTCCAGATCTGGCCCATATACCCCAATCTCTAATCATTATCACCCCTAAATTGCCCCAAATCTCCTTGTTGCCATAAATACTTTGACTAATTTCTCAACTAGCATGTGGAAAGAAATTAGAGGAAATTCAGCAACACAGAAGTAACAGAGCTGTTTCCTGTCTTCTATTACCAGGGAGTATTTCGTGGAGATGTACTATCGGAATGAGTCGAAACATGAGCCGTATCCCCTCACACTGCCTGACTGTACCCACAGCTGTCCTCTGACCAAGTTTGCTGACCTGGTTGCCCCTGTTATCACTGATGACTGGTCTTCAGAGTGTATGATCACAACGGACCACCAAGGTATTGAGGGTGTTACAGATTAGTATGTTTGCAGTGTTCTGCAGAAAGGGCAGAACCACATTTCTCAGGACAGATGATACTTTGAGAATATTCCTTGACTTTAACCCCCAACTTTGAGGAAAATGGGTTTTGGTTGGTAATTGTGTTTCAGGGACACCAAACTTCATGCAACTTCTGCCTTGCTACTGGGCCCTGACTCCACTTACCTTGACTTGTTTTTTTTTTTCAATGTTTACATAAGGGGGCATCTGTGCCAAAAAATATAATCAGAGATAAAACTTGGGTTAAAGTTCATTGGGCAGTTATGACCTGTGTGATTGGTCATATACATGACTTTATCACAAAATTATCTCTCAGAAAGAGTGAGTGGGTGTGTATATGAGTCCTTACAGTCTCTGATATGAAAGAGTGCTCTTTCATTATTTTATTTTTAAAAGCACATTACTGTTTGGGGAAGCCATATTAACTTAAACCAATGTCTATAAAGTTAGCATGAGGTGTTTATAGAAGTCATCTATTATTTAAGAACTCCTAGTCAACCAGCATATTGCATTAGACAAATCTGCTGCAAAATACCTCTTTAAGTGTTAAAGAGCAAAGATGTCAGTTTGATGACTGTGGTGTGGCTGACTCCATATTTTCACATGTATGTGAAATTGAACAGTGAATAAGGGAGACTGTAGATGAATCAATGTACTTGAATAATGGTGTTGCAGAAGAATATTAAAAGTACCAAGGACTGCTAGAAGAACAAACTAATCTGTGTTGGAGGAAGTACAGCCAGAATGTTCATTAGAAGCCAGGATGGGAAAGCTTCATCTCTCATACTTTGGACATGTTATCAGAAGGGACCAGTCCCTGGATAAAGACATCATAATGTGATGGGTCACCAAAAAAAAAGAGGAAGACCGTCAAGGAGATGGATTGATACAGTAGCTGCAACATTGGACTCAAATGTAACAATTGTGAGGATGGCACAGGACCGGGCAGTGTTTCATTCTGTTGTGCATAGGGTTGCTGTGAGTTGGAACTGACTCCACAGCACACCAAAAACAACAACAAGGAAATTTTGTTTCAGTAGTATTATATGAGGCTATTCTAAAGTGAAACAGATGTCAGGCAAAATGTACAATCTAGGCTGGTAACAAGGTAGGTAAGAGTTATTTCTAGGCTAATTAATGAAGGAATAACACTTCTGTTAGTTCCAGCCTTCTCACCATGAGAGGCAAAAATATGAGATGCAGTAGAATTTGGGGAAATCTTCTAGGCTGAAAACATGATACTGTTTTAACTGGATTTAAGAGCTAAAATAGAAAAGCATCTTTGTATACTTTGACCCTGGAATATCCATGTTCCTTTTGAAGAAACCAAAATCAAACTTGAAATAAAACTTGGATATATAAATAATATATTTTGCAGTTCTTGGGAGAGGTATCAGGCAAGTAAATAGCCTGTTAAGAACAAGATATTCAGGCTCAACACATCAGAGATGAGAACACTGATAGGTAGAGCTTCTTTTGAAACTCCTGTCATAAGAGATGTTGCATCTAAAGTTGATTTAAGAGAGGAAAAATGATGAAAGATATCAAACTGGAACAAAACTGGAAACATAGCATGTTCTAAATACCTCCAAGATCTCAAATTATTAGAATGTTGAGAGTGTGATTCTGAAATCTGTTTTCATGACAAAAAGAATGTTAACACTTTGTTTCTGGTATCTTTAGAAAGCCTAAGCAAACTCACAAATCCTGCTGAAACTATTCATTGTACAAGAATTAATCATGTTCAAACTGATATTATTTAAAGTAGTGTGGCAGTTACAACACATCTAAAGAATGTCAGATATCTTCATTAGGGTTGCTGTAACAAAAACACCACAGTGAACAAAAATTCTCACACTTTAGGAAGTTAGAAGTCCAGATTAAAGCACCAACTCTAGGGGAAGTTTCTCTCTTTATTGGCTCTAAGGAAGATCCTCAACTTCTCCAGCTTTGGCATTCCTCGGTTCCCTGGCATCTCCATGTGACATCTATCTTTTCCCCTGGTTGGTGTTTGCTTGTCTCTGCCTGTGCTGCTCTTTATATCACTCAGGAGTGATTAGGGTTAGGACACAGTCTATACTGATATGGCCTCATTAACAGAACAAAGGAAACCCCACTACTATTTCAGATAAAGATTAAGCTGATGGAGGTCTCTGCCTCACGATTGAAGATGAGAACAGGAAGTTCACAATGTGGTTGGAAAGTACAGAGATGCATAAAATGCAGAATAACAAATGTTATGACTTGGATTGTATGGGTTATGATGCAACCAAGAGTTATCTAGATTTGTAGGGAGGCAGTAAGGAAGGCCCGTGAAGGTTTCTTCCTGAAGATGACAAAGGAGTGTATTAGAATGCACCATATGAATGATGAAACTTATCAAACATATCAGTTTGCATGAAGGTTCCGGATAATGTGATACCAGGCAACAGAAAGGCACTTATCAAATGTCCTAGTAGCTTGAAGCTGGAATGGATAATGGCATTACTAAGCAAAAGAGTCAGGGTTCAAAGAGATTCCCACAGGTTTCATTCAAGAGAGCAATTGTTTTATTATGAAAAAAGTAGCTAGCTAGATGATAGATCATAAAATCTGCTGTTTTACCCATTCTTAAATGTACAACTCAGTGACATTAACCACATTCACAATGTTGTACACCCATTATCACCATCTAGTCCCAAAATGTTTTCATCACCTTAAACAGAAATTCTGTATCCATAAGCAATAATTCCCCCATTTTCTCCCACCTCCTGTCCCTGATAACCTCTGTCTCTGTCTCTATAAATTTTCCTGTTGTAGAATCATAAAATATTTATCTTTATGTGTCTTTCCCTTTGTATCATCACTTAGCATAATGTTCTCAAGGTTTATCCATATTGGAGAGTACATTAGAATGCCATTCCTTTTAATGGCTGAATAATATTCCGTTGTATGTTTATGGCACAATTTGTTTGTTTATGCATCTGTTAATGGACACTTGTGTTGTTTCCACCTTTTGATCTATTGTGAATAACGCTGCAATGAACACTGGTGTACATGTGCCTGTTTTATTTCCTGTTTTCAATGACTTTGTGTATATATACATAGGAGTGAAGGATTTTATCTGTTGTGTTGTCTTTCTATCTGTCCCTGAAGCTGTACCTGATATGGATTGGAGCTCAATAAATATTTGATCAATTAATGCACAAATTAGTAACCTTTCCTCCCTGAACATACTCTGTTCTATCTTAACAGCCATATCCAGTAACATAGAAACCATTTTGTTACCACCTTTTCCATCACCCCCCATGTCCAATCTGTCACCTCCTCTAATCTAGGCTACCTGTAGTATGTTTGTAAAAGTCTCTTCTACGAAAGATGAACATCAACAATTCAAAAGAGAGAAATACAAATAAGAAGCATCAAAACATGTTTTTGTTTGTTTTCAAGAAAAGAAAAAAGAAAATTTAGGGGACAATGTTATTCTGGAACCAGCTCTTATAGGTCTCAAGAATGGAATGTAGCATCTCTACCCAACCCTGTGTTCAGTGATTTCACTTTGGCAGTTTGAAATTGGTCATGATGAGAGTATTTTCACCAAAGAATAAGCAAATGACTAAATCAAAAGTTCTCTCTGTCTCTTTCCTTTTTCCCCTTCATCACATGGCTTAACAGCTTTAGCTCAAAGAAATCTTGTTATGAGTCTACAGCATAAGGTGGTTTTTGACAAAATGACTTCGATATTTAAACTTCTTTAAGGAAATGAGACTAGATTTGTTCTATATGAGTATGGTCTTAAAGAGTAATAATACTCAGATAGTAGGTAAAACTCTGAGAAACACACCAACATGTCTGTTTTATTTAGCCTCTGTTTTGAGCATAATTACCTTGACAATTCCTTGTGCTTCCATTGCTGTTTAGAGCTCCCTTCTCTCTCAGAAATTAGGCCATCATGTTACAATATCTTCTCACCATGTTGCCATTACCTTCAGTCTCCCTGAACACACACACACACACATATAGACACATAATTTGTTCAAGATTTGGGGACTTGCTTTGATGTACACCAAATGCCTCCTCACTGTCATTCCTGTCCTCAACCTAGACAGTTCTGACAGCCATAACAATGGTCTGCCCACCACACCAATATCTAACCCTAGATCCAGTCAAGTAGAGCTAAGGAAGACAAATCAAGCCATTTTAAGCTATGAGTGTTCATATTTCTATCCCAGTCTCAGCTGAATCTTTCAGCATTGCAGTGTAGATGTATTCAACTTGCCAGGACCCCTTTTCCTACTTTCTAAAGGAAGACGCTAATTTTTCCCAAATATCCAATTCCATTTAGAATTATTCATTCTCAATAAATAACTTAAGAATAGTGAGACAATTATTGAAAACTCTTTTAAAGTTTTCTCTTAGTAGCTTAAATTTACTACCATTTCTCAAGAAAGTGTATTCCTCTTTACTCAGCCTAATTCTTCTAATTCCTTGTGCATATCATCCCATTCCTGCAGTCTCCTCAGGATCTCAATCATCTTTTAGTTAGCTACATGTTCTTCCTCTGCACTACTATTACAAAAATGCTCAAATAGCTCACAAAAAACACAACAACATCCTCACTCTTTTCATTTCCCATATTCTTAAGCTTATAATTTACATTCTCTAGTTTTATTTCCTCATGCCCCTCTAACTCTTTAATATTCTGTAAAATGATGTTTACCCTTCCCTTGTATCTTTTCCGAAGCATTCTAAAACATTAGGTCACCAGTGCCTAATTAAGTGGCTTTCTTTTCCTTTTCTTTTAAAATAAGTATCAATATCCCCATTGTACAAAGAAGGACACTGAAGCTCAGAGATTAATTTATCACAAGTAGTAGAGTCAGAATTAAAAGCTGTTTTTCCAACACCATATTGTTACTACATCATGTACCCTTCCCAGCTTGTGCTGTTTTATGGACTTTTCCCTTTGGACAGATTTCC